GGAGGGGGGGAGGGGGGGGGAGAAGGACAGGAATGCAATGAAAATTTGCCGGGGAATTCCTACGAATGTGTTGCACAAAAGCGAGCATCAAGATGGTGAATGGAAGAAGTTGGATCTTGTCCAACTTCCTGTAATAGTCAATAAATCAAAGCGTGATTAGAAAGTTAAGACTGGGAGGGTGCAGTGGGGGGAGGGATGGGTGGGTGAGTGTGGGAGACAATTGATGGTGAATCTTCATGTGAAATTAATATTAAATGCATTCTTCTATTCACAAACTAATATCACGCAAGGAAAAGCGAAAGATGTGTTTAATATATTTTGATTGGCTACTTTCAAGCAATGTCAATTAATCAAGGAATCAAATAGTGCAATATTTGCCTAATTAGTCAACTCACCTTCCTGTAGTCAAATATATCGATTCATTCCTTAAATTTATGTAGATTCTTGCTCCTAATGGTCAACCGGAGTTGACAAAAATCGATTAATTTACACTTCCCACACAACGAATTACAGGCCTAATTTCTTTTATTTGTCATGTTAAAATTCACGTATTCGCAAAATTGAATCATACCGAATGCCGGTCATTGATAGACTCTTTAGAAATCGATTCTAGTGGTCTTTTGTATTGATAATGCTATGGTAAACTACGATTCCCTGATAAATCTCTTAATCATTAACACAAATGAAAATATATCTGAGTTCTGAAATCTCAGTTGTAACAAATCTAAACTAAGACAGATCTAAAAATGGCTGACAGTTAAAAATATTTCTAAATTTATCTATTTCCGGTTGAAATAAGTATTCATGTTTCATGGATCTGATTTATAATGTAACTTTTCACAAGGAAGGTGAAAAGAACACACACACATTGATTTGCAGTGATCTTGAAATAACTTCCACGCAGACATATCCAACTGCCATGGACCAAAATAGATCCGATTACTTTCCAGGTTAAGGCAGTCTTCCTTGTTACATTTTGTGTTTTTTGCCGACAACTTCAGGCATAAAGCATTAAAAAAAACAAATTCTTAAATTCCTGCAGCTTTTGCATAAAATGTATAATTATTAATTATAATTTATTTCTATCTACGACCAATGAACAGATATTCCCAAGGTCTGTCATAATTAAGTTAAGATAATGCACGTGTGAAGTCTTATAATTTTTTTTAATTTTAATCAACTAGATGAAAGAGATGTAATTCAATCATATTTATTAATTGAAGATTTCAATACTGTTTCAAGGATATTACACTTAATAAATACTAATCTAAGATATTAAGAAAAACCTAAAGTTAATAAAAAGATATTTTTGCCACAACGTGGAGTCCCCACATTCATATGCATTGGTGGATTAAATTCGTTTGTTTTTTTGTGAGGAACAAAAAATCTAAAATCTCTCATCTTTTCGGGAAATAATTCTCTCAATTTAACATCTAATTTCTTCTAGAATAAACTAACTCGGTGAGCTTGAAGAAAAGAATGCCTTAGCAACCCGAGTTTGATTTTATTTATGCAGAGATTCCATGCTAATTAGTAAAACAAAACTCGGTATTCGGAATCAGACTTCCGGTAAAAACGGAAAATGCAGAAATTAAAATTGTTATTAGTTGGAGTTGAATAAAATGGTTCATTTTAAAAATATAATTTTCCTACTACCAAAAGGATTTTGGAAAAAATGCACCCATAACAACTGCGATTGAAAAATTAACATGTTTTAAACATGTTATTGGTAATTATTTTTAAACACCCGTGTACTTTAAAAAGTTCATGGTTTAAAAAAGGCTGTTAATTCTGTGTTAAGTCGTATTTGCAGAAAGGAAAGTAATTTTAATCATGAAATTATTTTAACTTCTACGATAAAAATCAAAACCTGAATGTGTTCCAAGAGGTGGATTTAGTAATTATTATTAAATGTACATATTAAGGATAAAGATTTTCTTCTTTGAATTCACAATACAAAATATATTTTATATTTAATTAGTTAGAAAGGATTACAATGACCCGAGTTTCAATCTTCTTTAAATTTCTCTTTTTAGGACGTTTTACTTTTTCCTTCAATCAGAAGATTTCATGTTGGAGAAATACAAATAATATTTCAAAATGCCCTCATTAGCAAAAATACTTTGTCCGATAAGATTAAATTAAATTTGTTATTTTTGGTAGTTGAAGGAACGCATTACCAACACGACTCGTCAGGGTATTCACAATATGCTTTCCGAAGCAGAAGTTACCTCCGCGTTGATTAAACACTACCAGGAATGGAAAGTTGAACCGGAAGGGAAAATTCGAGAATTGGCGAGTTATTTGGTTCAGCTGCGCTCTATGATGCATCACCAACTACTTTTCAGCTCCCAAGAAACTGCCGAAAGAGAAGAATTCCTTGAGCAAACTCAACGACACGGAATCAGGCAGGCGCAAGTAATTCAGCGTCTAGAAGAACAGTGGGATTCAATGATGAAGAAGCACAATAAAATGGTAGGACACTTCTTAGATGCTTAGTTAGAGAAAAGAAATAGATCCTATAAGTTTAGTGGCATTCACAGCCTTAAATTTGAGTGCTTAATGAATATTGTCAAACTGAAATTGTCTAAGGACCTACGTTTATTATTTTTAAGCTAAATGCTCTTCAACGTTAGGGTGTCAATGGAACAATTCTACAGCAGCCGACTATGTATTGACATATAAATTTCTCCTATGAGAGGCCTTTTTGTCTTCGATGTGATTTGAACAGATCGCTTCAACTTCCTACCCTACTTCCATAAGGAGACACGCACGTTGGAGTGGAATCTACCGTTTATTCAAAACGCGAATACTCCCAGTATCCTGAGGGGAGGAGGGGGGAAGGGGGCGGAATTGAGGTTGGACTAAGGAGGGGAGGAAGGTAAACTGAGAGAGAAAGGTGAGAAAGAGAGAGAGAGAGATAGAGAACTAAACCCGCAGGCAAATGACAGGCGTTTGTTAGTTTTTGCGCGTGTGCTTATAGTTACTTATATCAAATGAGAGGCTTTATGGTGGATGCTATTAGCCCTTTTGGTAACTTCGGACTTCACAGAGGGGAGGAACGTCAAAGTCACAAAATTTCGAGGGGGGGGGGGAACAGAAGAGTGATTCACAGATGTAAAAGAGACAGACAGACAGACACAAAGGTAGAGAAAGGGCAAGGTAAGGTGAGTACTGTGAAAGTGGTCGAATATGACACAGTCAGTCGGGTCATGGCAGATTGAAGTCAGAAGTCAACTGCCAGTTAATGGACTATTTTTGCCGTATGAGTATACGTTGCCTAGTGTGCACCACGTGGAGGTAAGTCTATGGCACACCTCGCGTGTGTTTATGTAATAGGAGGGGGGGGGGGGGNGGGGGGCTTATATAGCTCCACTGTGAAGGTTTTCGGGCATGACTGAACGGGGAAGCTGATCCCGGGAAACGTTCATTCAAGGGCACTTTAATTGGGCCATCCCCTCTAGCTAGCATAAATCACTCGAGGATACACAATGCTTGCCTAAGTTGAAACCTGAGGTTACGTTAGGATTAAGCACTTTAAGTATTACTATGACCTTGGCAACGATCTTGCTGTTTCACCGCGGTCAAGCACTTCAAGCGTCACTGTAAAATCAAGGTACTTAGGTGGCAGAAATTAGCGGTGACCTAGATGAAAATTTTGCGAACGCACACATAGAGTCAGCCCTCATGCCCTTTAAAACCTTTCGACTTCAATGCTTACTCGAATTAACTGTAATATTTACTTTGATAAATAAAATTTAACATTAGCAAGGAGGAGCATTGCAACGAATGCCAGAAGAGCGTTACAAGTTTAATTATCCTAGGGTATTAATTAATATCGATTGAGTGTGAACTTTCTTCCAATAACTGCATAGACAACGAGACGCTTTCCACCTTAGAGACTGATCTTCTCTCCTCCCCCCCCTCCA